ACGGAAATTATATAATATCAAGAATATCCTAGAACCGATTTCGTTAAAATTTGAACTTTCATTTGAACTTATAAGGCGCTTATTTAGCCCTATTTAGATTGACATTATTGGGGTCAGTGGCGTCTCAGTGGGCACCACAGCCAACAATATTGTGAAAAAAAAAGTACGCCACTGACTTTTTTTGGTGAATTTTTATATTGTTTAGATTGAGCAACTCAAAATACAACTTTTTGGTCTCCTGCACTTTCTTCATATCCAGCTTCGTTTTCGAGAAAAAAATATCAAAGCCACTGTATTGCATATCATGAACACCTTCATTGGAGAAATGAGTTTTTCATTATTTCCGCCAAAAATTTTATTGACACTTGATAATGCTGAAATTTCAGAAAATTTGACAAATAAAAGTACGAAATTTCAACCAAATTGGTTCCAGGATATTCATGATACTTTATAATTACCATTTTTTTTTCTTTAATTCCAACGCCCTGTATCTCAAAAACGAAGCAACTGCGGACATATGTTCATAGGAACTTTCCTTCTTGAAATGACCTAACAAATCACCCCCTGCAGTTAGGAACCGTAGTTAGGAAACACCCTGTATATCGATATTTATTGATATACAGGGTGTTTCACAGGTAAAGGGAAATATTTCAATGGTAGATAGGGGTCACCAAGGTGGTTCTGAAAATACCATATTTGATAGGTCTCGATTTGGAATAATTATTTATTCGTCTCTATATGTATTGACTTACTCAGTATATTCTTCTCAAATTTGGTAAAGAGGTTATACTTGGGACGTTTAATTCATTCACTTATCGGGCGGAGTGAAAATCCAGGTTCGGCTTCAGGAAAAATTTACATTTATTCGAAATATTAAAATAACATACTGTATTTAATAATCAACACAGTACATCAAAAGAATTGTGAAGAGGAGGAAAAACTGAATTGGGTTTGATGCTTTTTGTTTTCCCGCCATCAATTCTCATAGTAACAATCATAAACAGAAAGTTGAAAGTATGTTAGTTTGAAGAGTATTGAAATTATGAAACCAGTGTCAATTATGATTATTCGATATATTTTGGTCAAAAAATCGCTAAGTCTCACAGTTTTTATAACGGAGTTACAGGGTGAATTATCGGTTTTGGATAATTATTCACTCGTCCATAAGTATAAAACTACCCAGTAACATTTTCTCAAATTTGGTATGTAGCTTACTTGGGACGATGGATTCATTAACCTATCAGGCGGAATGGAAATAATACCAAATAATTATAATTCGATAATTCACCCTGTATCTCTGTTATAAAGACTATGAGACTTTTCCTGAAGCTGAACCTGTATTTCCATACTTATGGACGAGTGAATAATTATTCGAAACCGATAATTCACCCTGTATCTCTGTTATAATGACTGTGAGACTTAGTAAGTTCTTTTGAACGATCATTTAACAAGAATATATCAAATAATCATAATTGGAAGTGGTTTCATAATTTTGATACTCTTGAAATTGACATACTTTTAGCTTCCTGTTTATGATTGTTAAGCTGAGAATAGGTGGCGGGAAAACAAAAAGCATCAAATCTAGTTCAGTTTCTCCTCTTCTTCCGATTCCTTTGATGAACTCTGTCAATTATTACTTACAGTGTGTTATTTTAATATTTCGAATAAATGTAAATTTTTCCTGAAGCCGAACCTAGATTTTCACTTCGCCCGATAGGTGAATGAATTCAACGTCCCAAGTATACGCTCCATACCAAATTTTAGAAAAATATACTGGGTAGTTCAATACTTATAGACGAATGAAGAAATATTCGAAATCGATAAATCGCCCTGTATCTCCGTTAATGGTATTTTCAGAACCACCTTGGTGGCCCCTATCTACCATCGAAATATTTCCCTTTACCTGTGGAACACCCTGTATAGGAATATATCGATATGTAATGATATATCGGTATCTGTGATCGGTATGTATGGATATATCTATATGTATGGATATATTGATAAATACTAATAGTGATATTCAATTTTCAATATCGCACATCCCTACTATCTAGTAATCTCAATGGATTTTTGAATGAACTCGCATTAGAAATTGGATTAATATCAGGTCTTGATTTCTTTTCCTGAAAACTAAGCAATATACAGTGAGTCCCAGTTACCATGCTCACCATGGGTATCTTTTTAACGGTGAGAGATACGAGGTCGGTTAAATGACACCAAATGTGGAGTTTGTCAAGGCCAACTATAATGTGAAAAAATATTTTGATAAAATCTATTCGTTTTTGTTTTATACGCAAAAAACAGATTTTGATCATTTTCATGTCTCCTCTGTAACTTCTTTATTTATGAAAATATTCAAATAGGAATTTCACATTCTCATGGCAGTTTTTCAAAGTGATTTCGAAAAAAATATGAAATTTATACCAACTCTTCTAGAATTTGAGATATCAGCACCAACTTTAGTTTTTCAAATGTAGGTCATAGCTCACTATGACTTAGTAACAAATAACTTTTTTTTCCTTACAGATGATATGTCGCAGTAATAGTTTTGTGTTGATAACAACGGAGTTATCGTCATTTATACAAAAACAACAAATTATTTGGAAGCCGCCATCTTGAATTTATAAATTTTAACAAAAAAATCATGATCTCCGACCTCAAAAACCCCCACTTACCAATTTTGGATGGAATCGGACCAAATCTTGTCCGCCATCTTGAAGCAGCCATTTTTGTTAATTGATGGCGGACAAGATTTGGTCCGATTCCATCCAAAATTGGTAAGTGGGGGTTTTTGAGGTCGGAGATCATGATTTTGTTGTTAAAATGTATAAATTCAAGATGGCGGCTTCCAAATAATTTGTTGTTTTTATATAAATGACGAGATAAATGACGATAACTCCGTTGTTATCAACACAAAACTATTACTGCGACATATCATCTGTAAGGAAAAAAAAAGTTATTTGTAACTAAGTCATAGTGAGCTATGACCTACATTTGAAGAACTAAAGTTGGTGCTGATATCTCAAATTCTAGAAGAGTTGGTATAAATTTCATATTGAGAATGTGAAATTCCTATTTGAATATTTTCATAAATAAAGAAGTTACAGAGGAGACATGAAAATGATCAAAATCTGTTTTTTGCATATAAAACGAAAACGAATAGATTTTATCAAAATATTTTTTCACATTATAGTTGGCCTTGAGAAACTCCACATTTGGTGTCATTTAACCGACCTCGTATCTCTCACCGTTAAAAAGATACCCATGGTGAGCATGGTAAGTGGGACACACTGTATACAATGATGTGAATGAATGTAAACTCATAAAAAACAATTGAGCACAATTATTTTCACCATACATATCAATCGGGAAACTCTCTGGGATGCCACTGGAATAATTAAATATGTTGAATCTAGTTATGCCAAATAGTTATTTATTATACAAGGGAAAAAAGTAGTAGATTTTAGCTCCAGGTTGTGTTGTCTCCCGACGCGTAGCGGAGGGAGACAAAAAACCGTGAGCTAAAATCTAATATTTTTCCCGTGTATAATACACTATTTTTTTCTGTGACAGAAGGAAGGACGAATCAATATTGAGAAGATATTACATTATTTCGAAATCTGAAGATTATCGACGTGAAATTTCAAGTTTTCAACAGTAGGGACACCTGCGTTTTATAGACATATTTATCATTCTTTTGAAGTAATCAAATATCTGATGTCACTTCTGTCAGTTCAATTCTGTGATTTGATTTTAAAAAATTGCGAATTCAGTAGTTGTTTAGTAATATAGGAAACCGCGAAGTCGAATGGAAGATAAAAGGACTTGCAGTTCTTTCTGGGAGACGGTATTATCGACTCATTTTTCGGAACTATAGCACAACAAAAGCCATTAACAGAGTATATATATGTGATATATATCCGGGAAAAAAGTACTCATTTTTTTCCCACGGGAAAAAAGTAATTTATGAAAAGTGACATTTTATAACCTGCCAACAGAAATGAAATGCCAAACTTTTTTCCCGTCACAGAAAAAAATATATTTTCATATTACCAACAAACCTGATGCTGAGTTTAATGAATCAGCAGGAGGTTCTTAGCTGTGAAAAAAAAAGAAGTTTGAATCAAAAACATTGGTGTGTCTTGTTTATGGAAAAACATAAAAGTTTACATGACATTTTCTTTTCCTTTTCAGGAGTTCTATAGCATTGGGGTCAAACTTAACATATTATATGGAATTTTCCAAAATGAACCTGATGTTTCCAGCATTGCATAGCATTTCCATATATTTCCTGACATTTCACAATATTGCCCAGCATTGCTGCATATTTCCCATTATTGCCCAATATTTCCCAGTATTGCTTCCTATTTCCATTGCACAATATTATTTCTTGTTTTTTTTTCATCTCTTGGAGCGCACAAAAGGGTATCCCTATGGAAGAACATCATGCATACCTAGGGAGGAGATGATAGGGAGAGGAGGTATTGACCCATATTTCCCCTCTAATGTATGAGAATTTCCCCTGGAATGTACGAGAATTTCCCCTTTGTCCAGCTCCTTTGTTTGTCACAATTAATAAGTTTTAGGTGATTTAACTGAGTCGGGGAAGTATAGAAAGTAGGTACCTATATGGAAATAGGGGAAGTATAGAAAGTAGGTACCTATATAGAAATATGGGAAGTAGAGATGAGGAAGTATGGAAAGTATCAGAGAGTATGAAGAGTAGAGAAAAAGTAGACATGAAGGAAGAATGAGAAGTATTGAGAAAGAACAGTATACTTTCCAGAATATTTGAAGAGCAGTATGAGCATAAGAAATGAGTGAAAAGTGAAATAGTTTAAAACATTTTGGTCAGCAGTTTACCCCTCAGATTGAACCCCAATATGATGAAAATTTTGAATCATGAATTTCCACTGAAATTTTTCATCTTTCACAAATTTAAGGACATCTAACTAGTTTGTACTTACTACAATCTACAACTAATTAAACTGATTGAGTACCTGATATTTAATGATGTCCTCTGTTTCCAAGAATACCTTCAGCTTTTTCCAGTCAAAGGAAGCATTTTTTCTGTAAATATCCAGAGGACCTGGCTTGAAATTTTCCAGTAAATTTGACATCTCTTGCTGAATAGTTACAGAGGAGCACTACTATGACAATTTTTATATGAAATAAAAACACATGTATTGTATTATCAGTAAAAACTCAAATAATTCAGATAAGACCACTGAACTATTGATGATAAAGACTAAAAAGGTTGAGCACTTATGAAATAATCAGTACTTCATACCTCATTGGAAAATATAATGACAATGAACTTTCATCCTTAATAAGCAAGATTATGGTAGGTATTAACCTTTGAACAGAATCTTCACATTTGGAAATAATTCAACTAATCACACATGAATAAAATATAATTGAAACACAGGTGAAGCTAGGATATTACGATTATTTTGAACTAGGCAAGAACCAACACAATAGATAAAACTTAATTTACTTCGCATAAAAATATAACAAAATAAAATAAATACAATGAAGTTTCATTATTGCATTTGTATTTGTAGAGTTGTAAAGTAAACATAACATTTCACATTTCACTTCTTTCAAATTTCAAAATTTCAGATTGAAATTGACAGATCATTGACAGTATAGACAGTCGCTGTCCTCAAAGCGGGACCAACTTCTGTCTCTCTCTGTATCTCTAATTCGCTTATACTGTAAGTTCACAATAGCTATTACTAATAATCAGTAGAAAGAGAATATATTTCTCTTGTTAGTTGTTCCTATATGAATGAATAATTAAATGAACAAATCAATCAATTTCCTACGCTTGTAGAAAAAATATTGATCCTAACTCATGCGGAAAGTGTCTTTCCCGCACTTGCTAGGAAAATTACTATTTTCGGTGTGAAAGATATTGGATCGTTGGAAACGGTTGATGTTGACGTCATTATGACGTAGCTGTCTCCCACCACCTTACCCTAAATACTTCAACTGGGTTCAACAGGGTCTGTGAATGAAAAACGCCTTTTATAAAGAGAGGATAGTTTTAAAAAGAAAAGAGGGATAAGAAACTGTTGGAAACGAAATGTGGCGGTTCAGATCCATCGCAATATTAATGATTTACATTATTTTCGCTATCAAACTTTCTTCTTCTAATGAAAAAATCAAAGATGAAAGTGAATTTGTGCCAACCCATGAGTGGCAAGTGGTGCGGAAAGGTAATGCCATATTATTCTTTCAAGTCCATATTTATCAATTCATCAATTCTAGGACAACCAGTTCCGAAAGGTTTGCATGTTAGGATGAATTTTGAAACAGGAGTTACTGAAGCTAAGCTGCTGGATGAAGAAGGAACCTCAGAGGAAGTGTCAAAACGAACTGATTTATCTTTATCAGGACTATCAGGAGTACCACAAGATGTGGATTCAAATGAACTTCTAGACACTGATGTTATTAAAGAAGCCTTGAAAAAAATCGAAAGCCATGAAAAGGCAAGCAAAGAACCTAAGAAGGATAATGATAATGATTCCAATAACTATAACAATAAGTTCAGAAGTTATGAACAACTCAAAGAGGATATGGCTAGTCTAAATTTAACCACCAAAATTGATGCAGAAATACTAGATGAACTTTTAAAACAGCATGACAAAGAAATAGCTAGAGAGGAAGTAGATGTTGGAACTATATCTAGAATACTTGAGGATTTTGATTATCTTGCACACCAGTTTGATAATGGTTTGGAATTTGTAAGACAACATGGATTCCAAAAAGTTATATATACAAATCTAAATTCAAGCAGTGGAGATATTAAAGAGAATACTTTGAAATTGTTTGGATCCCTTGTTCAAAATAATGGTAAAGTGCAAATTCATGCTTTAGAAACAGGAAGCATCCCAATGATCTTACGTATATTGAACCTAGAAACAAATAATCAAGTCAAATCTTCTGCAGTATTTGCACTTAGCTGTCTACTTCGCAGATTTCCCTTAGCACAACTTCATTTCATTGAAAATGGTGGGCTCTCAGTGATAATAAAGTTACTAAATAATGCTCCTATAAAAATTCTAGTGAAACTGGTAACTCTGATGAATGATTTGTTATTGGAAAATATCCATGCAGTGGAAGATGAACTGCTAATGGAACAATATAAACTTGTGAATTTGGAAAAATTGTTATTAGAGAATGATTGGTGCCACTATATAAATAATCTTATAGTTTCTGTGTTTTCCACTGAACCAAGTGATCATGATTCCATAGAAAAGTGTCTCCTCTCAATGAGAACACTGGCAAAACAATGCAACAAACAGTTTAGTGTGGAAATTTTGAATACCTTGTCAAATAACTACAAGATTTTAGCAGATAATGACAAAATTCTATCTGAACCAGACAATGGTGACAACTTTTTTATCAATATCCATGAATTATGTGTTGATATTTTACATTCAACAAACATCAAGACTGAATTATAAAATTTGTATCCCCTAGAGCTTCATTTTCCAAAACATTTACCAATATTTTATTCAGTTAGACTTTCTGTTCTGTAATTAGTTGAATGACTAAAACAATAGACAATCTACACCTGAAACAAAACAGAAATATAAAAAGAGGTGTCAGTCTAGTCTACTACTGTACTGTCTATTAGTCTATTTCTAGTCTATTGATAAATTCCTGCTCTTGAGGTCAGACTGCAGGTCAGAGCTTCTGCTGGCTGGAAGTCAATAAAAGTATGGCCTGTTGCTTTGTTTACTTTACCTGTGGAACTTGATTCTTTTTTCTATATAACTCTCTCTGTTTACATCATGCCATGGACAGAGACAACTATGGGAAAAATCAACTTTAGCAAGCATCAGCGGCGTCCGCAAGGGGGTGGCGCTTGCCCCTAGCACCATGTCCTTACTCAGACACATTCTCAATAAAATATATATTTGCACAGTAGTTATTCAACTTATCAGTCTGATGAGGCATACAAATGATTCGACTTTCTATGCAAACAAATAAATGATCTAGATTAAAAAGTTTACACTGAAATTGTTCATGCAGTCAATTACACATTGTATAGTTTTAAAAACAAAGTTGCTTCTTCAAGTACCTACTCTTAATAATTGGAACAATACAATCAAAATTACAATTATTCCAACAAAAGGTTGTTTCCTAATCAGCAAGCCAAGTTCTAGTCCCGGAACAATATACCAAAAAATTGATATTCAAACTGACAAGTTCCAAGTAAAAAATGCTAATAAATATAAGTAGTTATTTATTATTACACCAGGGAATAAAGTATTAGATTTTAGCTCAGCGGAGGTAGACAAAAACGGTGAGCTGAAATCTAATATTTTTCCCGTGTATAATACACAATTTTTTCTGTGACAGGAAAGAGAACGAATAATATTGAGAAGATATTACATTATATTAAAATCAGAAAATTGTCGACATGAAATTTGAGGTTTTCAACAAAAATTATACACCTGCGTTGCAGGCATCTTTTTGGAGGTATCTCAATCATTCTTCTGAAGTAATATCAAATATATCTCAGTCTAAATTATGTGATTTGATTTCAAAAAATTGCGAATGTGATTGTTTAATAATTTACGTAACCGCGAAGTCGAATGGAAAATAAAAGGAGTTCTTTCTCGGAGACGGTATTATTGGCTTATTTTCCGTAACTTCCGTGGGAACAAAGTGATTTATGAAAGGTGACATTTTATAACAGAGATGAAATTTCAAACTTTCCCTTGCCTTCAAAAAAAATACATAATATTGAATCTTCCAAATTGCCTACATGCACATAAATAACTACTCAAAATACATTTTCAATTTCTACTCTGACACATATATTTGAAATCACCCCCTCTCTCATAAAAAACTCTCAATTTTCCTCTTGAACATACATTTTTGGCTAAATGGACTGTCTGACGGGTATACTCGTCAGACAGTCCATTTAGCCGTCATTGGTCAGACTTTAGTCAGACTGCTAACTTGGAGGAGTTGGAGTGAGTTGGAGGTACAGAATTAATGAACAAACTAGTAGCAAAGAATATAGGTTTAGTATTTCTTCCGCTGATCACGATCAAAAATCTAACATCGCGTTCAGGAGTCATATATGTCAAAAAGATTATTATTTTGAATGGGATTACTAAAGTTTTCTACATGAATGTAGGAAATTGTGTCCTCTTTAACTTTGTGTTGAACATCTTTTGCCGTGAAAGCCACAGTTTTTGAGTTATCTAAAAAACAAATGCTTGAACATAAAATCCAAGATGGCGGTTCGAGCGCATGCATTTCGAGTGCATGCACCTCGAGATCGAAAACTTACGCTGATTTATCATTGGGGCACCAAGCCTAAAAATACAGTTCATTGGCCTAAAACAACATACTAAAAAATCACTACTGCCCACCTTTTTCATTCAAACAACCCTATTCGATATACCCACGTCACAGAATACTTGTTGTTGGCAAAACCACAGAACTATTTAAAATACTACACTACCCATGAACCCATGCTGGTAAATGTGAATTCTAGCACTTTAGGTAGCCGGCATCGTCTATCCAAGCACTTTCTGATGAAATGTGTCAAAAATAGAAACCTAACCTAATAATATCCAACTAGTCAAATTATTTTTATTTAAATAGTCTTGTACCAATATTGTGAATTTTTGTGAAATACCCATGTAACACTCGTATTTACTCGTATAATATAGTGATAGCGTTATTACAGTCAATGTACAGTAGTATGTTTTCCTGAATTTCAAGATTTTATCCTCATTTTTTACTGTGAATAGTTCAGGATGAACTTTTTCACTGATTATCATGGGGTACAACGTTTTCAGGATGGTCCAGTTATTCCCTACTCAGTTTCAGAGTAAGTTTTTTAAATAGATTAGAAACTTTCATTATCTCTACATCCATCCAATCTTTATACCTAATGCTCACAAATAATGATTATTCAGTTAATGAGGTATAACTACTCATAGAATTTTTTACTTCCCTGGAAGTGTTCCTCTGAACAGCTGAATAATTCAAAAACCCTGTTTTTTGCTCCTGTTTTCTATTTTTCATTTAGTCTTTTTTTCATTACCTCCTCAATATAAATATAATTATGAGTATGATTTCATGCAATGTATATGATTGTACCTCAGATTGTATATATCATGGGCATTGGGTATACTGCTAGAAGTGATCAAATCAATTTTGAATGATCTCCAGTTAATTAAATATGGTCTCAAGTCATTGATAATTGCCCAATTTGGTGAAACTGTCCAAGTCAGAATTTCAAACATAGAGATTCAAATTCTGACTTAGACATTTTTACCAGATATTGTGCTACTATCAGTGAGTCACTTTGGCATATTAACTATAAATCATTAAAAAGTGACTTCTCCACTTTCAGCAGTATGCCCTCAATATGTATTTTGTATTTGTATCTGTTTGTAGTAAGGTCAAATCCTTGAAAAAATTCTGATACCCTAGTAGCAACCTGAAATATAAATTTCCCATAGTCAGTGACACCTTGTTTGAAAAAATGTCTGAAGAAGACGGGAGTGAAGTTAGCCACATCCACAAAATACACCGAGAAAAATCTATCGCCGAAAATGTGTTCAGCAATTTCACCCGATTTCAGATGGAATTTGAACCCATTTCATAGGACGACTGAAGAGGGGTGAGAGCCTGAGTCGAAATTGATAGTGAGGTGGTGAATCGATAGTTTATCAAGTCGTCTGAAGGGGAAGAAAAGGGGTTGAAAGCGAAAATTACTCATTATCTCAGTTAATACTCGTTGTACATGGATTTTGAAGGCGGCAAACGAATCTACTGATCGAATTTGATAGGAAGGTGTTGAACTCATAGTTTGTCAGGCCGTCTAGAGGGGTAGAAAAGGGGTTGAAAAACAAAAAAAATCAATATCTTCGTTAATATTCGTTGTACATGGATTTTGAGGACGGCAAACGAATCTACTAATCGAATTTGATAGGAAGGTGTTGAACTCATAGTTTGTCACGCCGTCAAAGGGGGTAAAAAAGGGGTCGAGAAACAAAAAAAAATCAATATCTCCTTCAATATTCGTTGTACAGCGATTTTGGAGGCAGGAAACGATTCTACTGATTGTATTTGATAGAAAAGTGTTGAACTCATAGTTTGTCAGGCCGTCAAGAAGGGTAGAAAAGGGGTTGAAAAACAAAAAAAGTCAATATCTTCGTTAATATTCGTTGTACATGGATTTTGAGGACGGCAAACGAATCTACTGATCGAATTTGATAGGAAGGTGTTGAACTCATAGTTTGTCAGGCCGTCAGAGGGGGTAGAAAAGGGGTTGAAAACAAAAAAATCAATATCTTCGTTAATATTCGTTGTACATGGAGTTTGAACGCGGCAAACGAATCTACTGATCGAATTTGATAGGAGGGTGTTGAACTCATAGTTTGTCAGGCCGCCAAAGGGGGTAGAAGAGGGATTGAAAACCAAAAAAAAATCAATATCTTCGTTAATATTCGTTGTACATGGACCTTCCTATCAAATACAAACAGTAGATTCGTTTGCCGCCTTCAAAATCCATGTACAACGAATATTAACAGAGATATCGATTATTTTTGTTTTTCAACCCCGTTTCTACCCCCTTAGGCGGCCTGACAAACTATGAGTTCAACACTTTTCTATCAAATACAATCAGTAGAATCGTTTCCTGCCTCCAAAATCCATGTACAACGAGTATTAACGGAGATATCGATTTTTTTTGTTTTTCAACCCCGCTTCTACCCCCTTAGACGGCCTGACAAACTAGGAGTTCAACACTTTTCTATCAAATACAATCAGTAGAATCGTTTCCTGCCTTCAAAATCCATGTACAACGAGTATTAACGGAGATAATGATTTTTTTTTGTTTTTCAACCCCTTTTCTACCCCCTTAGACAGCCTGACAAACTATGAGTTCAACACCTTCCCATCAAAAACAAACAGTAGATTCGTTTGCCGCCTTCAAAATCCGAGATCCATGTACAACGAATATTAACGGAGATATCGATTTTTTTTGTTTTTCAACCCCGTTTCTACCCCTTTAGACGGCCTGACAAACTATGAGTTCAACACTTTTCTATCAAATACAATCAGTAGAATCGTTTTCTGCCTCCAAAATCCATGTACAACGAGTATTAACGGAGATATTGATTTTTTTGTTTCTCAACCCCTTTTCTACCCCCTTTGACGGCCTGACAAACTATGAGTTCAACACCTTCCTATCAAATTCGATCAGTAGATTCGTTTGACGCCTTCAAAATCCATGTACAACGAATATTAACGAAGATATTGTTTTTTTTTTGTTTTCAACCCCTCTTCTACCCCCATAGACGGCCTGACAAACTATGAGTTCAACACTTTTCTATCAAATACAATCAGTAGAATCGTTTCCTGCCTCCAAAATCCATGTACAACGAATATTAACGAAAATATTGATTTTTTTTTGGTTTTCAACCCCTCTTCTACCCCCATAGACGGCCTGACAAACTATGAGTTCACCACCTCTCTATCAAATTCGATTAGTAGATTCGTTTGCCGCCTTCAAAATTCATGTACAACGAATATTAACGGAGATATTGATTTTTTTTGTTTTTCAACCCCGTTTCTACCCCCTTAGACGGCCTGACAAACTATGAGTTCAACACTTTTCTATCAAATACAATCAGTAGAATCGTTTCCTGCCTCCAAAATCCATGTACAACGAATATTAACGAAGATATTGATTTTGTTTTTGTTTTCAACCCCTCTTCTACCCCCATAGACGGCCTGACAAACTATGAGTTCACCACCTTCCTATCAAATTCGATTAGTAGATTCGTTTGCCGCCTTCAAAATCCATATCCAACGGATATTAACGGAGATATTGATTTTTTTTTGTTTTTCAACCCCGTTTTTACCCCCTTAGACGGCCTGACAAACTATGAGTTCAACACTTTTCAATCAAATACAATCAGTAGAATCGTTTCCTGCCTCCAAAATTCATGTACAACAAATATTAACGGAGATATTGATTTTTTTTGTTTCTCCACCCCGCTTCTACCCCCTTAGACGGCCTGACAAACTATGAATTCAACACTTTTCTATCAAATACAATCAGTAGAATCGTTTTCTGCCTCCAAAATCCATGTACAACGAGTATTAACGGAGATAATGATTTTTTTTGTTTTTCTACCCCCTTTCTACCCCCTTAGACGGCCTGACAAACTATGAGTTCACCACCTTCCTATCAAATTCGATTAGTAGATTCGTTTGCCGTCCTCAAAATCCATGTACAACGAATATTAACGAAGATATTGATTTTTTTTGTTTTTCAACCCCTTTTCTACCCCTCTAGACGGCCTGACAAACTATGAGTTCAACACCTTCCTATCAAATTCGATCAGTAGATTCGTTTGCCGCCTTCAAAATCCATGTACAACGAGTATTAACTGAGATAATGAGTTATTCTCGTTTTCAACCCCTTTTCTTCCCCTATAGACGACTTGATAAACTATCGATTCACCACCTCCCTATCAAATTCGACTCAGGCTCTCACCCCTCTTCAGTCGTCCTATGAAATGCGTTCAAATTCCATCTGAAATCAGGTGAAATTGCTGAACACATTTTCGGCGATACATTTTTCTCGGTGTATTTTGTGGATGTGGCTAACTTCACTCCCGTCTGAAGAAGGGGTATATTTGAAAATATTGATTTCAACTTATTTGATATGTTGGTACTTGCTGCAACTATATTGAAACTTGTATTGGAATAATAGGCTGGTTAATTCAAGGAAAAAAAAATCTCACTCACTCTTCTTGATTAACCTGCAGACAGTATATCAGTCTGTGTAAGTTTTCCAGATCTTTAATCAAATCTGGTGATCTAAAAATTGAATGGAAAGAGAAGGCATAAATCACATTCTGAAACATCTCATCTTAAATGGAATATTATTGTCATTACTAATTGATGAGTAATGATCCAAGGACTTCTTTCATTTTCTAAGTTGAAGATTTTGGACAAGACTATTGAATAGCAATTGATTAACAATTTTATGTTCCAATATACCTACCTAACAAAAACAAAATGAAGTAAAACAACCGAGAAAACAACTACACAAAGTCAGTGGACACAACCTCAAGCTAACATCTATTACTTTTTCTCGCTTTTTTCCCTTGTATAATAAATAACTATTTTTCTCAATTGACAATTTTTTTTTCATTTAAAGTAAGTTTGTTCAAAAATCACATTTTCCTTGTCATATATCATTGCATTCAGTTGATATTTGAAAAAATAATGATCAGAGCCTACTCATAGTTTCCCCCCCCCCTAAAACATCGCCTGGATCCGCCCCTGTAAGGGCCACCTACATGTCTCTAGAGTCTAGAGTCTAGAACATACATTAACAAATTGTATTAATTCATAAAACAACAACAAGTTAGGTAAGCTGTGGAAAACAGCATTTATGAATCTGGTCAACTAATTGTGTTTCACTGTCTTTCATTATGAATATCCTCGACCACCGTTCTTTATCCAGGAGGTAATCTAATAAAACAATTTTAATTCGATTTTTTTTTCGGACAAATTACATTTGACATAAATATTGCACTTGTTTGTTGAACTTGAATAGGTAAAAATATACAGAGTGTTTCATTTGAGAAAACAAAGTCGCTGGCATTTCCAGACAAATCGGAAGTCCGCCGAGAAGTACGCTATATTGGATTGTAATGTGATGAAATCCAAAATGGTTTACTTAGTAGAGGTCACAGTGGTGGCCCGATACCCTGTGTCACCCGGTATTATATCAGCTTCCACATCTCCGCGTCCTTATTCAGCATTTTACTAACAGTTCTGGTATTGAGTTCATATTTTGGG